TCTTTTTCTTTCTCCCCCTCTTTTTCTCTCTGCCTCTCTCTCTCTCTCTCTCTCTCTCTCTCTCTCTCTCTCTCTCTCTCTCTCTCTCTCTCTCTCTCTCTCTCTCTCCTTCTCTCTCTGTGCCCCGTCTGACGGTCTGATTTTTTGTGTGATAATCTCATTTCCTCTGCTTCCCTAATCTACTCCCCTTTCTTTGACGTCGATATACGGTATTAAATTCGTTTCGTGGATAAGGGGGAGTAATTGCATTTCCTATAGTAAGTGACTCGACAAAACAAATACGGGCCGCTATATAGAGCACGTGAAGATGCTCAGAGATCCGCTCGGAAAATTACACAGCGATATACCTTTTCTCAGACGCATGGACACAGGTCCTCCTGTGGCCGTATAGAGTCCGTTACAAGTGGCGTCCGCCGACTGAGCGACGTTAAATCCCTCTGGTGTTGCCTCGTAAACCTGAGCAGCAGCAGGAGACCGAAAAACAAAACAAAAAAGGTCAGCGCAACGTTTTGAGATCATTCTTAGCCCTTCGTTATTAGTGCTCGCTACACGCGGGAAGAAGCCGCTGTCCTGTTTTTAGGTCGCATCCTAACGAGCATGCATGTCGATATCTTCGAGTGCCGCTGCTACCGCGCAATGCTAATAGAATGCAGAAGAGGTTGCAGGGTTCGTGCAGTGTTCTTTTGCCGTCCGGGGTTACGCTACACGCTGACGGCCTGTCGGAAACGTGTCTTAAGGCGAAGTTTTTTTTTCTGGTGGAGCCCTTCGATGAGAACTCCCGCTCTACCTGTTAAAAGACGCCATGAGACGACGCCTCCCTCCCTCTCTTCTCACGCTCGTTTTTTCTTGTTAGTCAAGGTGTTACATATTTGCGGCACTATTTGGTTTCATTTTTTGGCACTGCTTACATCTGTTTTTGATAGAGAAAGCGAAGCTCGCCTCCCTCCTATCCCCGCGTAAGTGGATGGAATTTCGTTTCTCTATATTGCTCAAAATATTTTTCTAAAGATAACTAAGTTAATTTGTAAAAAAGGGCCATGCTACATGTTTTGCTTATCGCTGTCTCTCTCTCTCTTCTTCTTTCCCCCACTCTTTCTTGCCCTCTCTCTCTCTCTCTCTCTCTCTCTCTCTCTCTCTCTCGCTCTCTATCTATCTTTCTTTCTTTCTTTCTAATGTGCGTGTGTGCGCGGTGCAGGGGCTTGCGCGCGCTGTGTGCGACGTGATTCTGTGCGTGGCTGCGTGCGTACGTTACATGTATATATATATAATCTTATTTATTTATTTATTTAGCTGTCTCCTCGCACTGACTTTCTCTGATGCTGGTGTCTTTTCTTCTTCCCCGGTTTCTCTTTATAATATATTTTTTAATTTTATCTCTCCGCCGTATTCGTTCTCGCTCACACCTCCATCATACGCGCCCTCTCTCCGCCGCTTCCCTCCTTATCTATACTTCTCATCCTATTCTTCTCTTCGTTAACCACCCCCTTCCTACTAGCTATTATCTGCTATCGTATTCGTCCACCGCTTTCCTATCCGTCTTGCTTTTACGCTCCCATGACACACTGGCGCGTGCCTCGCCGCTAAGATGAGAGGCGACGATCAGTTTCTTTTCAACTCGCATATATAGGGTTATAGTTTTAGGCGGCGCATGATTAAGAGAAATAAGGGCCTAGATTAGCCGTTCACGTCCCCATACTTCTCTGCGTAAACTCACGACCAATGACAAACCGAACATCTTAATGTACATACCGAGTACGTGTTCGCAATTTTTTACGTGCTTAGGCAACGTATGTCACGCGCGACGCATGAAAATGATTTAAGTGCGCTACTCGGCTTAAGATGTAGATATTACACAGACGCGTCTGCCGCATGTCGACGCGTTTGTGCCGTCACGATGTAATTTCTCACCATATTTTTGCGGCGTCGCTTGTCTTTAAACTGCGCCAGCATGTTTGAAATTCGGCTCATAAACCCGCGCGGTCATATCGTTATGAAGTTTATTTCGTAATATAGTTCTACGGGAATCCACGTAAAATTTTTAGATCTTGTTTATTATTAGCGCACAGCCGTATTCGATTCCTTGCAGAAGATTAAGTGCAAATCTTGCTATACTATATACTAGGCTAAATTGAATTGGCGCGCCCGTTCGCGCGCATGAGGCATCAGATAATACTGCGTCAGTGTGTTTGTGCGTTTTGATACATGTTTCATTTCCGAATTAGAAAATTGCAATGAAAAATGTGTAGCTGGCGCGTCTCGCGTCATTCGTGTAACACCTGCAGGCAATTCTACTGAATTGCCCGTGACTTTCTCCGCGTTTTTATGACACATGCTTCAATAACTGTAAAAATACATTTGTAGTCCTGTTATTAGCGATAGAATCTTGCAAGACGCGGCATTCTCCGCTTAATCCGGATGCGGACGCGGAGCGGGAAGGCCGGAGAAGCCGACATATATGCAACTCGCTCGCGACTGTCGCTATTGCCAGCACGACGTGAACGATGATAAATAAGGGACTGTGTCGCTGCGCAGCTACAGGCCCGAGAACACGTTACGCTGCCCTGCGCGATTTATAGGTCAAATGAAGCCATCTCGCACAATGCAGATTTACCGAGTGCATCCGGTCGCTGCGTCGGTGGACATAACACTCGCACATCTTCCGCTGCGCGCGTTCTACGCCATTTAAATATCCACACAAAAGAGGGTCGAAATAAAACTCTCTGCGCCATATATACATTGAGGTGTTTTTCATGTCCGATGCTAGCTTCATGTTATACATACTGCCGTATATATATGAACTCCATATAACTAATAATAGGCAATATCTCATATAACCTAATAGAGATGCGGTGCTTTGCCAGATTAACGAAAAAACTCGTTCGCGACTCGGTCACGAAGAACATGTGAACGAATCGGGAAGATATTCATCGCTGAGATAATGAACCCGCAATTTGCTGTATCTGCACACACCCATCATAGGCATGCACATGAGTACATGGTATTAAAATGCTATTGTAATTTGTAAGCCCATCGCTATACAGGATATATAGTATTTCATATTAGGCTATATGTTGTTCGATATGCGCACGCCGGACGCACCACGCACGCACGCACGCACAAGCGGTAGAGACGCAGATACACGCACGCACCACGCAGCGCAAACGCAACACACAACGATATACATAAGTAGTTAATTGCTTTGTGTGTCGGCGTAGATATTTCGCGTGATACATCTAGGCTGCTGAACAGAAATGGTGTTGAAAACAGCCTACTTCAGTAGTCATTAATCACTAGTAAGCACCAGATAGAGGCCAGTCTGCGTTGACCATGGAGAATTAAGAATAAACGGCTAGCATCGAAGTACAGCTGCATCAATAGCCTACGGAGCTTTACGTATGCGAGGATATCGTCAGTGCAGAAAGCCATGTACATAACGCATCATAAATCAGCAAAGAAAAACACTCAACGAGCATCTGTAGAGCCCGCTCGTCGATTTTTAATGCCTTGTGGGTAGAATCTTGCCATACATATAGTTACTGCCGGATCGCCTTCGTGCGCCGGATGCGGTGGGCCCAAGCTGTACAAT